AACTGGCCCATGTGTGATAACGTCCATAGTCTGCTTCCCTTTAAGGCATACTATCCTGTTTATCTCCACATAGCTCACAAACACTCCATTCAACTCACTATTTTTCTTTAAATCTACAGAAAAGATTGCTATCCTGAACCAGATCATGTTTGTAATTTTATAAAAGTTGAGGATTAGCATCAATGCTGGTAATCTAATTAAAGCAAACATATTGTTACATCTATTTCTGACATACAAGTACATATACTATACCTGCATAGAGTATTGCACTTCAGGGCTCGTGCACCAAAATTATCTCCCACGTAAGAGAGCCTCTCTGTTTCTGCATTCTAAAAAGGAAATGTAGGCGTGAACTACAGATACTTTTTTTTTCTACACAAAAACAGCTTTTAAAACTAGAATCAATACTCCAAACGCTCAGGGCTTTCTTTCCATCACAAAACGGGAAGTTACCGGCTTCACGCCTAATTCAAAGTATCCTAAAAGAAAATGGTATCTGTTGGGACCTTGTAAACAGCCATGCAATTTCGCTCTATTTCTCTTCCTGTTTCTCCTTCCCAACTGAAAGCCTAGTGCAGGGGTAGGCAACCTTTTTGAGCCAGGGGCCGGGTTGCTGTCCCTCAGACAATTGGGGGGGCCGAAGCACCATAAATAAATAAATAAATAAATAAATAAAATTTAAAAAATAAAAAAAAAATGCATGCACACACTCTCAGCCCCAGAAAAGCCATGGCAAAACCCCTGTGGAGATTTTGTCAAGAAACCCCGAAGAACAAGTAATAACAACAATAATCAATATCATCATGGCAGGCAGCGGCGGTGGTGGGGGGTGGTGGCAGCAGGACCGGCCACCTTAGGTTGCCTACTCCTGGCCTAGTGAGTCCAGCTGATACAAAACTAACTAGAAACACACAGTCGTCCCTCTTGGCAATACAACCTAACAGGGTGATGTTTCATACACAACCCCCAACCTTGGAGCCTACTGTTAGTCTCACTTTGGGTCTGGTTAGCAATTTTTGTCCTTTATTTAAAAAATGACATATATATTATTTTCCAAAATCACTACATGCATAAACAGGGGTATTTCACCATAATATGGTATATGACACTACTGTCACAGTCAATAACATGATAGGCTTATGTTACTTATGCCATCACATTTCACACAAAACAACTGGCAACACTGGCTGGACAATTCTGAGAGCTAGAATCCAAAACAGCAACATTTCCAGGATATGTTGTCTTCAATAGTTACTCAGGCAAACCTATTTGTTGTTAACTGCCCTCAAGTCAATCTCAACCCATGGCAACCCTATGGATGGGACATCTCCAAGACCCTCTGTCCTTGTGCTCTGCTTAATTCCTGCAATCCCTTAATACCCATGTCCTCCTTAATAGAGTCCATTCATCTGGCATGTGGCCTTCCTCGCTTCCTACTTCCTTTCCCAGCATTATTGTCTTTCCCAATGAGTCCCCTCTTTTCATGATGTGTCCAAAGTACTACAGACTCAGTTTGGTCATCTTGGCTTCCAGGGAGGTTTCCGGCTTGATCTGCTCTAGGACCCACTTGTTTGTCCTTTTGGCTGTCCATGGGATCCTCAACACTCTTCTCCAGCACTACATTATCTCAAAGGAATTGATTTTCTTCCTATCACCTTTCTTAACTGTCCAGCTCTCACATCCATACATGGTAATAGGGAACACGATGGCTTGTATGATGCTGAGTTGTATATCTTTGCATTTTAAAATCTTTTCTAATTGTTTCATTGCCACCCTCCCCGTTCTTAGTCTTCTTCTGAGTTTCTCACTGCAGTCCCCATTTCTATCAATGTTTGACAGTGTTTGATATTGTTTTATAGTTTAGTATAGACCAGGGACCGGCAACCTACGGCCTGCGGGCCGGTTAAGGCCCAGGTCCCCGGACTTACCGGCCCAGGCGGAAGGTTGCCGCCACCACTGCCACGCGTTTTTGCTGCTGTGCGGCTGTGACTGCCATTTTGCAAATCAAAATGGCGGTCGCGATGCGTTTGCGCATGCGCAGTACACCTGTGCATGCGCAAATGAGTCGCGGCCACCATTTTGATTTGCAAAATGGTGGCCGCGGCATGCACGGAGGCAGCAGCGCGTGTGGGTGTGTGTGCGCGCATGCGCACGCCGCTATTCTGCCCCCCCCCAGGCCCAGTGGCGGGACGGACTTCACGGGACCGGCCCCAAGCTCAAAAAGGTTGCCTACCCCTGGTATAGACAAAATCTCTATTTAAAAATCAGTCCTGCTAGGTTTGATTAGTATTACCTTATCTTAATCTTACTTGCAAACAACTATAAGGCTGTAGCCATATCATGATAAAAACATTGATCAGGATAGGCAAACTGATCCTGCTTAGGTCTTCAAAGGCACTTTCCAGAGTACTTGCTTTATTGTGAGGGGGTATCGTAAAGTCATAATTATCACCCCAAATTTATTATGGTATATTGATGAAATTTTCTCAGTGTCATCATTGATCCCTAAATACATGATGTTGGGAAAATCAACTTGTGTCCTTTATTTTTGTTGCAGGTTGTGCAGGAAGTGACTAAAGTGTAAGATGGAGAAGATTGAGGCTCGCAGTGTGATAAAATTCCTGCATTTAAAGGGCAATAGTGCCTGGCAAATTCATGATATAATTATGGTAGTTTATGGAAATGATTGCCCATCTTATGACACTATTGTGAGGTGGAAAAAGACTTTCCAAACTTGTCACATGTCCCTCACAGATGAGCCAAGACCTGGAAGACCATCATTAATGGATGATGCGGCCACAGTGAAGAAAGTGGAGTGTTTAATTCTGGAGGGCAGACAAGCAACCATCCAAATGATCATGAATGAAACTGGTCTCAGTTATGGTAGTGTGTGGAAAATTATTCATGATGAACTGGATGTTTATGGTGTCTGCACACTAGGTTCCACATTTGCTAACCCCTTTCCAGAAACAAACACAATGTGACTTTTCAAGACAGATGTTGACACAGTTGGAACAGGATGAAGAGGATTTTATTGGTCATCTGATAACTATAATAATAATAATATGGATGAATCTTGGATCTATCAGTATGATCCAGAGACCAAAATCATGAGCATGGAGTGGAAGCATGCCAATTCCCCTCTGCCCTAAAAGGCAAAAGTGCAAAAGTCAGCAGGGAAGGTCATGCTCTCAATTTTTTGGGACTGT